AATTTAACTTTTATTTTCTAGAAAATACCCTCTAGATATGACCAATGGTTTCAAAACACTCTGTATATTACGGAGTAACGGTTGGTTGAGTTTAACACAATCAATTGCTTTTTTATTTATAATTTGTAGAAAACTAAAAGACAAATCCGAAAATATCATGGTTGGTTGTTACCGTAAAACACTGGCGTACTATTTTATTTAGAAAATATACCACTGATAACCTGTATCTCCGCCACTGCAGCATGTAAATTTTAGGAAAAGCCCTCAAATTTTGGACAATATTTACATAAATACATGTACCCAATTTCAAATTATTTCATCGACTAGTTTTTAAATTATTTAAAAAAATTAAAAATATTTTTTGAAGTTTAACACCCTGTATCTTTTTAACGAAGCGTCTTAGATAAAAACTCTATAGGAAAGACTCCCCTTAAAATTCACCAAAGAATACGAGGTTTCATTTTTGGTCACCATTTGTGAATCACCCTGTATATATAAACCATTTCAAATGGTTACAATTTTTGATTATTGATTATTTCAAAAATTTGCTTACCTTGTTGAGTTCTACGTAGGGTTAAATAAAGTGTTTCATCCATTTAACAAAATTAACTCAAATACTACATTATATTAATTAATCAGAAAATGGAACTTCAAATTAGCATTGGCACTAGAAAAGCATTAGCTTTTATTATGTTATGTTATGTAAATTAAAATGATCAGTAAAACAAATCAGGATAATGTTGACTTTATATTTATGTAAATGATAAATTGTCTTGATCTCAGAGGCTAGAGGCTACATTTATTCAAAGTTTGGTGTAATTTTGTACCAAGAAGTATTTTCAGATTGCATCTTTGGTTAAATGGAGACAACCAACTTACTAACATAAGACAATCTTCTAAATAGAATTGGATAAATATAAAATCAAACACTACGGGATACATTTGTTTCTAAATTTTTTAGCAGTTCTATGAGCTTGATAAAACACAGTCTTTTTTTCATTAAAATTTGTCTCATTAATGTTGTCCCATTCCCTTTCATGGTCTTTCTCAACGTGTCTGTGGGACCTTTTACTTCTTTCGTTCTCTTATTGCGCTTAGAATTCGTAATTGTTTAACTTTTTATAAATTACGTGCATTGGAAAAGAATTACTTAAGGTTACAATTGAATTAATTAACATTTCCTACAGTGTTTATTATCTCTGGTAAATATAAACATGTCAGTTCTGTTGACTGATTTTGAGAAAGCATTAAAAATACATAGCACTATGTGGTGTTTCAGAGAACGTTGATTGTAATTTAGATTAATCACACAATATTTGTTTTATGTACGTCAAATAATGACTCAGAGCATTAAACTTTTAATTTAACACTTAAATATTAACTTTAATTAAAAAAAATAGTTTTCAGAAGAAAGGTGCAATAAAAATTTAACATCTTTGCTTACTTGTGGCTGGGGTGGCCAGCCGCTGGTGGAGTTGCAGCATTGGTCGAGTTCATCTAACTCGAGGATATCGGGGGAAAGACTCCCAGAATCCATCGTCTATCGGAACCTTGCTGTTCGGCAAGCCGATGGGCACTGACAGTACCTACTTTAGGAGGTTCGTGATGCCCGCAATATTGGCCTACAATGTCTTAATTACAATTGGAACGCGAAGCGGATGTGTATGCGATGAATAAAAAAGTTTGTAATAGACTTTAAACGCAAGGACTACCCCAAAAAATAAGACAAATATGTTCCTGGTAAATTCACTATTGTCGTTGCTTCAATTTCCAGGGGTTCCCTAAGGCTCAGTTCTGGGGCCACTCCTGTTTGTTCTTTTTATTGATGATCCAATCAAGTACCTTGATAATTTATGTGGGTGATCTTAAGTTGTTATTGGACTCTAAATCTTCTATTAATTGTTCTGGAGTACAAGATCATAGTTAATTAATTATATTATTCAGTTTTTTATGCATAAAAATCCGCTATATTTATCCAACTAAGTAGCTAACTTTTTTTCGTGCAGAAATTACGTGTTGGTAGATAATAAGATAACAAACATTATTTCTAGAATCTATTATTAAACTGTGGAAATTGAGTAATATTACTAAGAACTGGGCGATATCTGTTCTTCTATTGCAATGTATTAGAAACTTATTGAATATTTGACCTTCGCGTGTGAGTACAGACACATCTCGTAGACAGCTCAAGGTAAATTGTTTCTAGGCCGATATTGTTGAATGTCTGTCGACAATGAGAACTGTATCATCATTTTTTCCACTAATTTTCCTATAGATAACTGTGTTTATTATATGTCCAAAATATTTTGGAGATATATGGGTCATTAAGAACAGAATCGATATAACCAAAAGTTTAAAAAATAGTTATTTATGTATCAAGGGAGATACAGGGATGAAAACAAATCGACTAAGAGCATAATCATCCGTGGTGCATACAACGTTTTATTTTTTACTTAGACATCCGATTTTATATTTATTTTAAATTTAATAATTAATAGTACAGTCATTGAAGCTGAAAATCAGCTGTAACCTCCTAATTCTTTGAAACTGCATGGATTTGCATGAAAATTTAGAATAAGGCTCGTCTTAGGCTCAAGTTCAAAAGTGACATAAGTCCGATTGACGCTTTTTGTTTTTTAGGGGTAAAAACTACCCCTAAGTGAAAAAAATTGAAAAAATTAAGTTTTAAGCATTTTATTGATAAAAATCTTGTTCAAGCACAAAGATTAAATAATGTTCCATGTTCTCGAACATGTTTTATGATATATTTGATCTTTTCGACCCTTTATTTAACCCTTAAAAACTACCCCTATGCAAAAAATAATGATAAAAAATTACTTTTTAAAGATTTGGAATGATTAAATCGTGCAATTATTTAAAATAAAAGTTACCTTATAGCTAATAAAAGAATTTTTCCCTTTCAACCCCTAAAAACCACCCCTGTATTGACAAAAATGATAAAAAATTACTTTTTAAAAGCTTGGAATGCTTTAACGGTGCAATTATTTAAAATAAAAATTCCCTCATTGCTTATGAAAGAATTTGTATCTCATAACACTTTTCAACCCTTATAAATCACCCCTGTGCTAAAAAAATGATAAAAAATTACGTTTTAAATCTTGGAATGCTATAATTGTGCAATAATTTAAAATAAAAATTCCCTTATATTGTTTATGAAAGAATATTTTACTTTTGCCATTTTCAACTCTTATAAACTACCCTTTTACCAATATTAATGTAAAATATTTTTATTATAATCGATTTTTAAATATAATCAATCATAAAAAAATTGCTACGCTGCATATAAATAATCACACTAAATTTTTTTACTTATTTTATTTGTATAATATAATATATAACATATAAAAATGAGAAAGCCTATTTTGCTCCGAAAAAATGTCATTGGTTTTTTTACCATAACTCGGTTAATTTTGAAGCTATAGTATCCTACAAAAAAGCATTTTAAAGATAATTTCAAGAGCTGTAAGATCGTTTGCATATAAAACCTTTTAAGTCCTTCGTTTTTTAAAGGGAAAGGATCGAAGGGCTCGAGACAGGTCGTTTTTTCACTAAAATGGATACTTCAAGCGGCGATATCTCCTTTATTTTTTATGCTATAGGAATAAAAAAAACAAAATATTTGTTGAAAAAAAAGCTACATTTTTGTTGTCTATCATTTTTTACGTATCTTTCATAGTTTCAGAGTTATTATATAAATAAGGCAATTTTTTTTGAATAATGAAAAATACGTTTTCAACTTTTACCGTACATTATTAAAAAAATACGCATTCTAAACCGGTCTAACTTCAGGATCGTATGAAAAACACTAAAACAAAACTAATTGTAAAGGGTCTACGATTAATTTTAATTCTGATGGAAATGGTACAGCGTTTACTGCTCATTTTTCCTTAAAAAATATGAGCAACCCATCTGTTTTTGACGATAACTCCTTCAATTTTGCTCTAATTAACTTTTATAAGTGCTCATTTTGAAGGTCTTTTTGAGTACTACAAAAAACTCCAGGAGCGTTATACACGTAAAATTAATCCTTTTTCCGTTATTTGACGTTGAATACATCGATTCGAGTATTCCCCCCAAAACAAGTCCCCTTCCACTAACCATATTTCGCTTTGTATAGGACGTACAACACTTTTTAAAAAACGATTTTCTTTGTTTATTTATAAGCTACATTTTTGTTCATTACACTTTTTTTAATAAAATGCGTAGTTTTTGAGTTATTCGCGAAAAATACTTTGAAAAAGTGTTTTTTTTTCACTCAAAATTCCAAGTTTTCAATCGTGAATAACTAAAAAACTATTGATTTCTCGAAAAAATTCTTCGAATATTTTTTGCTCAAAATTTGATTCTCTATCGATTTCCAGCGTTATTTTTGAAAAAAAATTTCCACCCCCGAGAAGGGGTGTCAACCCCCAACAGGGTGGAAGCGTCAATCGGCGCTATGTCACTAATGTTCATTGACCTTTTCTCTAACTATCTGCCAAATTTCAAGTCGATCGGTTCAGTTTCAAAGAATTCGGAGGTGAAAAGCTTCAATGACTGTACTATAAGTGGAGTATGAAAAAGACGCGCGACTAATGCGTGAATGCGACTATGGATGGAGTCACAAAACATAACATAAGCCTTGTTTATGTGTGTGTAAGTATGTATGTACATAAATAAGGATTTAAGGAATAGATATGGAGTTTAAGGTCATTATTGACTGTATATAGGATAACTAAACTACTTAACTTACCAATGATTCGTTCCTGAAAATGTCACGTACAAGGTCGCAAAATCATCTGTTTCCGTAAATATTCAACGATTTTGTTTTCTAAAAATAATTTAGATAACTCAACCTACATACAAATTTATCATGAAATTGTTTTCGCATATTGTTTTTCTATTTGTCTGTGTAGTATCAATAAATGTTTAGAGATATGTACAAAAACGAGAACATAACAGGAACGTACTTCAATTTCAGTTCAGTTCAGTTGACAATCTGCCACATCTGTCACTGTCAGAATAATACCTAACATAATAAATTCAAAATAATTATACTAACCATAGATAAAATATATTGATACTAACTCTTATCTATGAATTATACAAACGACTGGAAAAACTGTATTATATGTTTTGTGGGAAAAACTATTCCTGAGTAAAATGTATAACTTTACCTGACCAACTATTTACGATGTCAACCCAAAAAGTTGCTGTGGTAAGTATTTAATTCCAAAAGATATAAAAAAAGATATTGAATTTTTTTTTCTAAACAGGTTACAGGGGGCAACAAAGGTATTGGATATGCAATAGTTAAGGGCCTTTGCGAGAAATTTAAGGGTGCTGTATATTTAACAGCTAGAGATGTTGGTAGAGGAGAAGCAGCAGTTAAGAAATTGAAGGAACTTGGTTTCAACCCTCTATTCCATCAACTGGACATTACAGACCAGTCTAGTGTTGACAAATTCAAGGAATATATTAAATCAAACCATGGGGGCATAGATATTTTGGTTAATAATGCTGCTATAGCCTATTTGGTATGCTGAGTAAAATAAATTATTGTTTATTAAAATTGCAAAAGCAAAATGAAGTAGATAAGGTAGAAATGCCTACCATTTTGATCCCAAAATATTTTTCGATTTTAATTTTTCACAATTAAGTTCCACTTAGGGAACTTGTCTGTTTGCAACGTTCACAAAGGATTATATTTTTTAAATATTTAAAGCAACCAGGTACTCTTTTATTAAATAAATTATGTTGATTCAACTTAATGATGACTATGTTTAGGGTAATGCAACTATACCTGAAGGCCAACAAGCTGAAGAAACCATAAAAGTCAACTATTTCGGGACACTAAGAGTATCTGAGGCACTTTTCCCACTATTACGCAATAATGCCAAGGTTGTAAATATTTCCAGCTCTGCTGGTCATCTTAGCATGATCTCATCTGCAGACTTGAAGGCAAAATTGGGCGATTCTAACTTGACCATTCCAGACCTGAACAACTTGATGGAAAAATTCGTAAAGTATGTAATAATAGTTTATCTTTTATTATTTTTACATATTATCTATCTTTGGTTTTTAGCCTTTAAGTTGAATGCAAGCAAAATTGTTTACACTGTTTGATGTACTGAAGAATAATACAAATACAATCGAAGTGTGAAAAGTTAATAATATATATTGTGGTTTTCGTTGTTTGTCGCCGTGATAAATTACAATTTATCAGTTATTTGTTGAATTGTGTCAGACTTCTACAAAATAAAATAATTTGGTTATATTAATTTATAGTGATGTGAGTGAAAATATATAACAAATTGATATATATCAATTTTTGATACATATCAGCTATTATATTTATGTTAATAGCTGATATATATCAATTTTCCCGCCATTTCATGAATAAAGCCAAATTTCAAACATAACCTTACATTTTAAAACTAAAAACTTGTGGTGTGGTAGGCTTGAGTTGGACTGTAGTAGCTCTTGGGTACCTGGAATATCTCCGTCAAAAATGAATATAAAAATCTGAAATTTTAGGGGTGTACTATAGATGGGAAGAACTAAGAGCGCACGTAATTTCAAGTCACCCCTTCCACCCTAGGGGGTGACGGGTGGTTTTTTTAGATGTACCCTACTCATTTTGCGAGTTTCGGATTCTATGCGTAAAACTACCCCCGAAAGCGCGTTCTTGCCGAATTCGCACAAAAACCAAACCACCACCCTCGTATGGATTTTGTCGTTTTTTCGATGAGCATTTTTCTCCTTCAAAAATAAATATAGAAATCTGAAATTTTAGGGGTGTACTATAAGTGGGGAGACCTAAGAGCGAACCTGATTTCAACTGGCCCTTTCCACCTTAGTAGGTGCAGAGGGGGTGAGGGGTGGTCTTTTAGACGTACCCCCAAGAACGCGTTTCTGGGGGTAGTTTTACGCGTACAATCCGAAAATCGCAAAATAAATAGGGTACGTCTAAAAAAAACCTTCACCCCACCCCCTAGGGTGGAAGGGGTGAGTTGAAATTACGTGCGCTCTTAGGTCTCCCCATTTATAGTACACCCCTAAATTTTCAGATTTTTAAGTACTACTTTAAAGCAGTTTCTTTATTATCATAAGTTTTTGATAATTTTTATTTCAATTTTTATCTTTAATTTTTTTTAAGTACGTATTGTGATATACAAAGACTAAATTTTCTTGTTCTAGAAATTTCCCATTTTTTATTTCTGGGTTGATAAAACTAAATTGCTAATAAACAGCGTACTTGCTTATAAACAGTCAGTAGCACGCAACAAAAATTAGAAGTCAGTATGATAAAAAAAATATAAAATTCCAATCTAAATATGAAAAAAAAAAAAGATCACTTGATAACTTTTCTTAAAGTTCATATATATGACATGTATTTGGTGTCAAATTAATCAGCAAGGCATTAGCAATATAAAAAAACTAATTTGAATATAGTTTTTTTTTAACAAAATTCATCTGATATATATAATGATATATATTTTGATATATATCACCCAAAACTAAATAGCATGCTATTTTACATCACTATTTATTTATCATCATTTAGGGATGCCAAAGAGGGCAAAGCAAAATCAGAAGGTTGGCGTCATGCTTACTTCGTGTCCAAAGTAGGACTGAGCGCCCTGACCTTTATCCAACAGAGATTGTTCGATAAGGAACAACCGAACAGGAATATTGCGGTCAACGCTGTGCATCCCGGCTACATAAACACTGACTTGAACAATCACCAAGGACCGTTAACTATTGAAGAAGGCGCAAAAGCTCCCCTTTATTTGGCTCTTACGGCTGATTTCAAAGGAAAATACGTCTGGCACGATTGTAAAATTGTTGACTGGTATGGAACTATACCTTCGTTGTATTAAATTGCAACAAAGATGTTTTTTGTATTTACATGTTGATTTTGTACTTTTAAGTTTAAAATATATATTTTAGCAGCATTTTATTGTATTTTTCTTTGGAATACACACACCGACATTTAAAAATGAGTAGGAAATCGTTATGTTGATTCTATGCAATGAATCCACTATTTTCAAGATAGTGATGTGAATGTGAAAATGGTCTTACTTTAAAAGGTTGTAAGAGATATTTTCTTTTAAATTAACTGAAGAAAAGTAAGGTGCACATCAGTTTTTACTCAACGGTATGCTTCAAGCAGTTCTTTGAATTTTATGTTGTACTGTATTTTAAAAAATGGACTAAACCAAAAGTAGCACAACAAAAATTTGTATATACAGGGTGTCTCATAATTAGCTTCCAACCCTGAACAGGCCGATTCTATGATCAAAACTAAGTAAAAAAGTTCATATGAACATGGGTCCGGAAATGCTTCCTAAGGGCACAGGGACCCATTGAAGAGGGAGGAATGGAAATCATTTTTTTGCAATATCTCTCAATCGCGTTGTGATAAATGAATGAAATTTGGTATACACAGCTAAATTTTGATGAGCAATTTGATGGACTAATCCATTTATTTCCACAAGGTCCATTGGGGTGGGTACGGGGGGGCCCTTGGTACTTTGCGTGTGTAACTTTTTCATCTTTGACTTTTTAACAAATTGGACAGCAAATTCCGTTTTCCCGAACTGTTTTACGTTAAAAAGGTACTCTTGTTTCAAATCGTTATCTTTAACGGTTTCTGAGAAAATCGCTCTTGAATTAATCCCACTTTGGTCAATTTCATAGTAATTTAAACAAAAAAAAATAATAATAATTTTCCTTTCCTCTCTTTTCCATTTAAAGGATTAATTTTTATTTAATTTAATTTTTTATTATTATTTTTTTATTAAAATTAGATTAAATTTAAACAAAAAAATTTTTTTTGTTTAAATTACTATGAAATTGACCAAAGTGGGATTAATTCAAGAGCGATTTTCTCAGAAACCGTTAAAGATAACGATTTGAAACAAGAGTACCTTTTTAACGTAAAACAGTTCGGGAAAACGGAATTTGCTGTCCAATTTGTTAAAAAGTCAAAGATGAAAAAGTTACACACGCAAAGTACCAAGGGCCCCCCCGTACCCACCCCAATGGACCTTGTGGAAATAAATGGATTAGTCCATCAAATTGCTCATCAAAATTTAGCTGTGTATACCAAATTTCATTCATTTATCACAACGCGATTGAGAGATATTGCAAAAAAATGATTTCCATTCCTCCCTCTTCAATGGGTCCCTGTGCCCTTAGGAAGCATTTCCGGACCCATGTTCATATGAACTTTTTTACTTAGTTTTGATCATAGAATCGGCCTGCTCGGGGTTGGCAGCTAATTATGGGACACCCTGTATGGTTTAGAGGGATTTGCCATACTTATTATAAGTTTAACTCCACAAATTTACAGTATATATAAGGTATCGTACTGCTTATTGACACCACTCCACACACTTAATAACCAAAGCAGTCAGCTGCACTGTCGAAACGCGTTATTGTATATGTCGCGCTTGCCATTTACTTACCGATGACGTCAACGTATCGACATCCCAGTCCAAAGCGTTTACGCGCGAAGTGAACCGATTAAAACTTTAATATCTAATATCTTTTTAAAAATAAATTAATATAACACACCTTTACACATTGTTTGTAGTATTCAGTGTAGATACAAAAACTATTAAAATATTTTTTTTCTGCAAGAGGCCTATTATGAAAATAACTTCTAACAAAACGGTTAGGGCTAAAAATATCCTTAGTTGGCCTTGTTTAACATACTCCCGAATAAAATGGATAAATTTTCGAATTCTGCACAAAAAGTTGATTAAGCGTTCAAAATTTCATTACTTTACCTCGAACCGTTTCGATAATATTGAACAAAAGTCATCTTCAGGGCCGAGCATTTAAAAGGCTTTAGCTCCCTTAGGGTCCACTTTTTTTTTTTGCCGTCGAATCACCCCCTGAAATAATTGCTCCTAATTTCTGGAGGCCCTCTATGCCGGATGACGTATCTGTCACTTCCCAAATGACGTCATGTTCGAAGCATTGAGGCCTTGTTCTTGATCTGAAATGAACATTTTTGACACAGCCGCGATCTAGCCGCCTGTGCCCCAGGAAGCGGGGTGTGTGCCGAAACCCCGTTTCGTGTTTGTTTTCCAATGCGCCTCCGATCCCGATCTAGCCGCCTGTGCCCCAGAAAGCGGGGTGTGTGCCGAAACCCCGTTTCGTGTTTGTTTTCCAATGCGCCTCCGATCCCGATCTAAAATTGGAATCCACTCAGCGCACGCCATCCTGCGATTAGCCACTCCAGCGTCAACCGCTGCGTTGACCTCTCACCTTTAACCCCTTTGGCGGCAGTGCAGGGCCCATACGTCCCGACGCCCATAGGGGATGTTTTCGGAGGGCCTATCCACTAAAAAACAACGAGGTGCGTGTGCGAGAGCGACTTAATGGGTTTTATGAAGTGTGCTTCACAAAACTCCGTTTCCGAGGCCATTTTGAGTCAATGGTTTGAGACGGAACGATAGGGACAATATTTTGCGAGTGTAGTTTCGATATTTCAGTCCGGGATTAATGTGGCGTTAATATTTTAAGAGGATATCGCTTTCGGGAGCGTGGAAGGGGGGAAGGGGGTGCTGATTTAAGCTGGCGTTGATGTTGCGATTCGATCGGAGCTACTGGAAGAAAATTAATGTATTTAATTTAGAGGCTTTTAATCTCCATACCCGCCAGGAGTTATTAATTTATTAAGGCATTTTCGCTGAATTATGAGCTTAAATGACTCCTATAAAGCAATATATATTAGGGCGTAAGTGGATAAGTGCAAGAAAGAGGATCATGAAGCGTAGAACGGGAAACAAGAATTAATTTCATCAATATGGCTTAAGGATCTAATACTTTTATATTCGCTGCCTTTGTTACAGATCAAGAATATCTTTTTAGCTCCAAAAATTTAATTCACTGTTTGGCTCAAAGTCGTCCAAACTACTAAAAATCATCATATGACATTCAACGTAGCAGAAGGATATAGAAGAATCCATACAAAGAAAAACTGAGGTATTACGAAAACTGTTTAACTGTTATGAAAATAAAAATGTTTGAAGTTTCTTTCGTATGTCTTTTTTTATGTTATTTCTTGGTTTTATGTTTGCAGAACCATAATGAAGTATATATTATATATTAAGCTAATCCAATCACATTCAAAAATATTTTCCAGCAGATCTTATCAAATGAGAACAGAGCCAGAGCCGAGCGATCGATGAAGTCAGCGGTTGCAAAAATGTTTCTTCATATCATTGTGGTAAGTTAGTGATAAACCATTGTCTACAGGTCATCTTGATTGACCCCTTGACATTCGAATGTTTTGTTTAATTCTGTCCAAGTAAATGTTTTGCAGTCACTCTGAATGTGGAACAAAGTACAATACATCACTTCTTTCTTCTACGCTTAGATTTATACCGGACCGACAATTATCTTTTCCCTGTATGTTGTCCATCCTGTTCTGCTTGTATAATCGACATCCTCAAAGTTGCTATTAAACCTGACAAAGTGTAAGACGTAAATTGATTACTCTTACGCGAATCATACGAATCATGGAGTTTACAGCAAATGTTGGCTGTTCAGGTAAAGTTAACCCGGATAAGACTTTGTAACGGGTTACTTTCCTTCGGCCTCTAAAAATTCGACAATTTTACGACACATAAAACAACCTTACATTGTTTTACGACCCCTCACCGTATCATCTCACTCCGTCCGCCCTCTCCTTCCCGTACAACAAAACACTTTGCAGACGTTTTTGCTGTTGTTTCAAGGTAGAGCAAATCCTTTAAAGTACCCGTCCGGGGCTTTTCTATAACTCCTTATTAATTTCTCGGTAGACGGGCAAGAACCAAAATTATATCCGGGCGTGTTGGGAAGTTTCTACAGCGACACTGGATTATCGCGAAAGGGGCAGGACAGTTTCCAACGTTATTGTGTAGGGTAGGGGATGAATTCGGGCTGTGAGACAATCGGGCCTTTCTGGGGAGAAGGTAGGGAAAGGTACAATTATATTCAAAGTTATAGCTCCAACAGAAATTAAACCTTATTCAATAATTTATGATTCTTGGCTGTTTCAATAACTTCGGAGCGGCATTATTTAACATTAGCTCAATTAAAATGCGAGAAACATGAATTTAAATTAAGGTCGTGACCCCGAAACGTACAGGGTGAGTCGGAACAGTGCCCTTTCAGAAATACTGGACCATTTTGTTTCCTGAAAGCTTATTTATGTTATACTAGAAGTTGTTTTAATTGCAAAGGAAAGAATACGGCAGGTTAGTTTGAAACGAAACTTCAAATGCTAGAAAACTATTTTCAAATGGTCAACGAACCCAACACATATACAGAAAAACAATCTACAGTTTAAAAAAACAGAAAGATTCAAATTAACATAAAAATGCATCAGTAAAGTACGTCCACCATAAAATATTTTGTTTACCGCTTCTGAAAAACTAAAGAACTGAACTGGCAAGGCACTTATGCGAGTTGACGTTCTTACATAGCCCTCGTTCGCTCCGAATTTTCAACACGAAACAGCGCCGTATGGATACGAAAGCTCTCGACCTAGCTGTTGTATGGCTGTTTGGTAGTTTACGAACATGGAAAGCTGAAACTTCTCCCAACCATTCCAACTGTACATTTCGTCCTCTGCATAACGTGGTTTATCTTTGAGGGAGTTGGAGCCGTATTCCTGCTTACCTAATTTGTTCGGAAAAAATCGAAAGGTGGGTGATTTTCGACACATGTAAAATTTCTCTCGGGACAATAAATAGCTGAGATTCTTGAAGAATCAGTTATTTGTTCCTTCCATTTTTTTTTCTTTCGTGGAATGGTAAATCTAGTAAAGAACATCTTCAGATGCAAAAAGCTTATAAAAAATGAATACAGGGCGATTTCACTTTAAATACAGAAACTGCAAGATTAGATTCATTAGCAAAAAATAAATAGTTTATTTATTTATAGTTTTTGCTTT